CTGTACATCCGACTCGGCTATCTATATATACAAGAACCCAAATACGTCTATGTGTGGTGGCGATTTTACGCATTAATTAGTGGTACGGTAAAAAAAACACGCCCCCCCCCCCCGGACCCTCCTAGTTTCTCCAACCCTCCCCTCCCTCCCCGTCTGTTGAATTTCATCTGGGAGAACCCTGCAGTGTTTCACATTTTGAAAACAATGTCATGACTTGCAGCAATGGTACATGCAATGCAAGTCATTGGCATCTCGTGGCCCTGCATTCAAGCTGTATACCCTATATTTTTTTAACTTGTAAAAAAAATTATATTTCTGCCTACCCATGCTTTTGCAGGAAAAAAAAGAAAATGTTATACCTACCTACCTACCCTAATTTCCACAATCCATGTGACCCGAACCAAAGGTATTTTTTTGTTTGGCCTAATGATTTTATGGCTGCTAAGTTTTTAACAAATACATATGTAATAGGTTGGGCCACCCATGAAAAATCTTTTATTTTGTTTTGACAAGATGTGTGTATGTATATATTGTATATTCTGTTTTGTGTACATATGTTTTTGCGAACGAATTTGATTTTTTTGCGAACTGAAATAATTATTGTTTTGTTGTAATCAGCAATAAAAGTGCGAGTAGCGGCGTTTGGCGGAGTCGGTCGTAAAACCAAGCAATATTTTATCTTAGGCCTTGGCTAGCGAAACAGGGCTAAGCTTGAAAGGTAAAGCTTGAAAAGTGAGAGAGTTGTGATCTAAGTGAGTAGTTGCACAGCAAAGGAATAACAATATTAGTAGTATAATGTATAACACTGAGCCATTATTAGCTATTAGGTTAACAGCAGAAACTAAAGTATTTTCACATTTTATTTTGTAAATCAACATCAAAAGTTATCTGCTGCACACTAATTTACACTGATCAATGCAAATGTCTACTCAACTACAAGATTGACAGGCTTGACAGCTAGCGCTTGCTATAGTGCTGCTATTATAGAAGTATTTTAAAAATTAAAATGTCACTTAGTAACAAGTGGCACAAAGTTAACAATTTAAAGTTAAAGCTGCCAAGGGCGACCCCTGTGTTGACAAATCTTCTAAAGTCATTTGTTAGGGCATCCGTGTTATTTCCAGGAATCAGACAGATTTGGCCATTATGCAAGTATGCAGCCAGTGTGATGATTTGGAATGTTAAGCGCACACTTGCACCAATTTGGAAGATGGGCATAATATAATAACAGCAGCGGCAGCTCAAACAAGCTGCCGCAACCATCATCGCAGAAGGCCGCATGTTAAAAAAATACAACAACAAATGTAAGCAACCTAATAACTATCAGTACGAGTCAAAGATGAAATTTAACAAGTGCGGCGGAGCCGACAGCGCTCATCTAACGTCTACTGCGGTGACTCTGTGGTGGAGTGGTTGGATTCTAGTAAACCCTGTTAGTTCCCAAATGTGTTTCACATACACGCCGAAACAGTGGAATGCACGGGATGGTATCAGGAACCTTCTCAAAGGAATGTTCGTTGGGATCTGTTATGAAAGTGCCACGAGATGGCGCGTACGTTTAAGTGTCTTCAGATTAAAGATGGAAGCTACCATCGTACGTAGTAGCAAACACTATTTGCAAGACAGAATAGGTGTAAGCACTCATCCATTTACTGCGCAAGCCTACAGGCTGCAATGAGAGGCGTGCCACCTGTAACCATTAATGCAGGCAAAAACTACACAGTACACCACCACATGCACATGGCAGTGGCCACTGGCAGTGGCATACGTTACTCAGGAGTAGATAAGAGGGAAGGAGTGTGACATCAATAAAAAGGAAATCGTCATTACTAGCCTTATAATACCTACGATTTACTACGGCATAACCATCCAACTTGAGCTCAAATCGGACACATTACATTCGCATAGCATCGTGCAGAAATCGTTTCCTCGTATCACCCCAATCCGGAGATACGACTAAAACGTACGACACGATTCTCCATTCTTGGCATCAATCGCAAATCCATTGCGCGCGCTCTAATTCAAACAAAAAGGCAGCTACCTAACCAACAGCTTGCTAACAACACAGCTCACAACACAACCACAGCTCTACTAGCAACTCGCGCAGTGAAATTCTTTCTAAGCAGAACAGTAAACAAATCCATGTTTAACCCTCCTCTTGAGGGTCAAAAGGTTATCCGACACTTACTCTTCACATTGTTAGCAGAAGGTACATTTCATGGTCCTTTCAATAAAGCCTATAAAAATGCTAGGTCCCCGCTGAAACACAAAGATTTTCAATCGCTCCGTCAGACCATGTCCTCAGAAAATGTCTAAAATGCTGCCCTGTGCCCATTGACCTTTGACCTGTGACCTCCAATTTCGACACAGTGATGGCTTTTCCTACTATGATGCTATACACCGACTATCACGAGCCTAGGTCGAGCGTTTAGATTTGTGCCACACGAGCCTAGGTCGAGCCATTTAGATTTGTGCTGCAATTCTGCATTTCCTCCCTATACCTTAAGTTAAGGAGTGAATGTTCCCTTCTTTTACACCTCTTGACCTTTGACCTTTGACCCCCAGCTTCGACATCCCAACTCGTTTTCGGATTACCCCCCCACGTTCCGAATATCGTGACCGTACGTCGAGCGGTTAAGATTTGTGCCCAACTGTTGACGGACGGACGGACGGACGCACAGACGCTCGCACGGACGGACAGACGGACGATCATGCGATTCTACAAGCTGCATCTGACTATGTCAGATGAGCTAATAATATAGCATTATGTATCATATGTTATCACATGGCAAAATACCAGATGTACTTTGCCTGATTGTTGAATACACAACACTGGCTATTTCAGTGACTCAGGTTCTATAGTGTATAATCATGCATATATCTAAGCATTAAAGAATAGTGTCACAAACACATCAATGCGTGAGGAGATCGCGAGTCTTTCTTCTCTCGCCATGATCCATGCACAGTATGACGCCTATCATGTAGACCTAGAAGATCAGTCAACAGTTTTTCATACTTGCCCTAATTTCAAATGAGGGTGACACAGACATCTAAACATGTTTAAGTTTTCACCAATGTTCTGATAATACTTGCTTTAAATATTTAAATTTCGTGCAATAGTTTGTAAATTATTGTACACAGAAATTCATTCTAAATTATATTATTCAGAAAGAAAGTAATATGTGTTTCTATGGTATGATTGCATTCATGCAGTACACAAACTAAGTTGGCTGGCTACAAAGGTCCACCTTCTAATGAGGGGGGAAATGGGGGGAGGGCGTACATTCCCACTTTCCCAGCAAAAAACACCCCATATCCTAGTTGCCAGTAAAATAAAATCCCAATTCCCAGTTCCCAGAAAATTATGTAGACATGTTTCAGGAAATTCAGTAGTTTAGGTTTTCAAACACTACATAAATACTAATATTTACATACTATTATTTATCTGGGCATAATTAATAAAAAAAATAAAAAAATAAATTAATTAAATCTATAAATATTAGCGCAGAAATTGAAATCCCGACGAATTGACACAATTTTCCCAGATCCCAGACAATTTTAGAGGGTCTTTCCCACGTCCCGATGGACTTCTGTTCCCGAATCACGGGAAATTTACCTGACATTTCCCAGTTCCCAGGTAATTAAAATGGCCAATCCCACGTCCCGAAAATACCCGTTCCCCCCATCTCTAATAAAAACGACCCCCGAAAAAGACCCACCCCTCCTGGAATGCTCACTATAGCCGTATAGGCCTGTCTAAACTATAACAGCATAAATCCTTAGTAATATTTTAAAAAGTTAGTGCAATAAGTAGTCTACCCGCCAATAGGTGAAACTATCTTCCACCGCATGTTTTCAGATTTTGGTTGTGTTTGAGAGACGATTACTTTAAAGGTAGTAGGGCCTAGTAATGCTCATAGGGTCTATGTCCCCCAGGGTACTGCCGGAACGTACCCTGGGTATGGTCCGGTATACCGGAACGTACCCTAGTCACTATTTGATATGGTTAGTGTTAGGATTAGGGTTAGGGTTCGGGTTAGGGTTAGGGTTAGGGTTAGGGTTCGGCTTAGGGAGTAGGCGTAGGCGATTCCCTAGACTCGTTAGTGGAGTAGGCGAGGTACGGTTCGGCATATTAGATAGTACCAGGGTACGTTCCGGTATACCGGACCGTTCCGGCAGTACCCCGGGGGACATAGACCCTCTCAGCCCTAGTAATAGTATCTAGGCCTTCGCCACCTTACAAAAATATTTGTAGGACTATAGATTTAACTACAACTAACATTAACTACGGCTTATCACTTTATCGACAATACAAAACGACGCATGTTCAACAGATCTATTGTGTTTGGCCATGACACATGCGACTCGTGAGCCCGGCATGGTATCTGATATTATTCTGGTATTCCTGAAGACTTAGAATATGACCCACATTTGTACTCATTCAAGTATAAAAACCTGTTTACAACCATGTAAATTACTTGGCCCTACAACCAATATATTTGTTAAGGTATACGCAGGAGGGCTAATAAATGTACGAACCACAATATAATAACATTATACGTATCACGTAATTAGGCCAAATGTTACCGCCATTTTGTTACCTATAGGCGATTAATCTACCATGAAAGTGAAACCAAAAATTCTGAAAAGGGCCAACCACGTGTTTACGAAACGATAGTAAAATTGACATTTTCATTTCAGTAACCACAATTAACAACGCAAATCTGCTACTTAAGACGCTGTAATGCAACAAATAATGCGTACTGTAAACATAAGACTAGACGGCACCGAGTTCAAAATACTACGACCACAACGGGGTAGTCGCGCTTCCACCGTAATGGCGCTATCGTCGCCACACACGCCGAATCAAAACCAAAGGGTGTCTTATTTTTGATCCAATGTACTAGTTTCCTACTCATTTCAAAGGCAATATTCGGCACCAACGACGTCCCTACGTTTAACAAAAGCAAATAAGCAGATCAATAATTGCATATACTCACAGATTTAGCCGAAAATAGGGATCTAACTGTCACAAAATACAACTTGTTCGCATGCGTGTTTTGGCGGGGCTGACACATACCCACGAGGTGGCAGGGCAATAGTTAGTATGGCCGCGTCCATCGGATAAGGTAAAACCATGTGTGATATTTTATTTGAAACAAACATCGTCTTTTTTTTGTTATATACATATTTATATCGGTGTCAATTAAGAGAGAAGTTCTTCAAGGACAGTATAAACTCTTCATTTTAACCAGTAAACGCTAATACCCGCGCTGTAAAACGATAATTTTTTCAAAGATTGATTTGTTTTGAAATAAGCAATGTGCGGCGCCAGTGATAACTATACCGTTACGCAATGTAGCTCCTCAGGCACTGAGGTAGGCTAAGAGCCACAGGCACAGGCACTTGGAACGTCTCAATAAAATACAAAAATGTAAACACGAGATGTATTTACTACCAAAGTCTTAATGTTTCTCTACTCTATTTCGCCTATAATCACCTGTAAATGGCAGTCAAATGCTCATCTGCAACACACAAGTACACCGCACGCCCGCGCTGTGCACAAACAACATGAATAAGAGAGTTGTCTAATATAATGCACGGGTATTGCGAATGGACCTTGCGGTCATCGAGTCAGCCATACACTATAGTTACAGTACATGTTAGTTTATTACTTTCCAAGACACGATGTTGAATAATATTTACAATCAGCGTCGGAAATAACCGGGGGCGACGGGCGATTTTGCCCTCGGCGGAGCCCAAATAGCCCCCTAAATCCTCAAAACCCAATTCTTTGGGGCGACCATTTTCTTCAGTGTCGCCCTCATCTCTGCTACGCAAATTTCACAAAATTTCTGTTCTAGGAGCAGCATACAGAATTAACATGTTAATCTCACTTTCGGCGAGCTTTCCGTTTTACAGGAGTTAATTTAGATCTACAGCTATCGTAAATAAACGCGTAATGCATGGAAAAGGAATGAAGTCGGCTTTTGTTTGCATGTTACAGCACTGTGGCTATACGAATCAGCACTGTAATTATCAACTGATTCTAATCGCTTGCTTCAGTATGACTAGTCTTCGACCGATACGGTTTGTAAAAAGGTGTTTATTTTCCACAGCACAGCGCTCAGTACAGTATGTTGTTTACGAATTACGATCGATGTAAAAGACTATACCAAAGACCGGTAATGCGACTATCACGTTGTACCTGGGGTACGGTGAATGTTGAGATAATTTTCGCGGTCGCAGTGAAAATTACATACAGGATATAAAATTACAAATATTACAAACATATTAATAAATCATGACACAAACTTATTATACAATATATGTAGCACCAACAATATCACATTAATGGTCTAATATAATAATAAAATGTTAACATGCATTCAGTTCAACGTGCAACAAAAAATAGCCCCAAGGCTAATAAAAGGAGCTCTTGAAAAATAAAAATAAATTCCGCCCCTGTTTACAGTGCTCGAAATAAGCGTTGTCCGGTTGTCCGAGACAACCAGAATTTGCGCCGGACAACCTAACCAGTCTGAGACATTGTCCGGTGGACAACCAAGAAACCCTATCCCTAACCCTAACACTAACTCTAAACCGACTTGGCTATCTTATATACGCATGGTACCCAATTAATCTATGGTGTATAACCTTTTGCTTTCAATATTTTGCATCTGAACTGACAATC